GCCTCAGCCTCCCGAGTAGCTGGGACTACAGGCATGTGCCACCATGCCTGGCTAATTTTTTCTATATATTTTTAGTTGTCCAGCTAATTTCTTTCTGTTTTTTTAGTAGAGACAGGATCTTGCTCTTGCTCAGGCTGGTCTGGAACTCCTGAGCTCAAACAATCCTCCCTCGTCGGCCTCCCAGAGTGCTAGGATTACAGGCGTGAGCCACCGCGCCCAGCCAGAATTTCTTGTCTTGTTAAAGATCTCTCCTCATCCTGAGGCCAGTGTGTCAATATCATTTACTAAATAAACCATTTTCCACTAAACTGAAGTACCAATTTTATCATACATTAAATGTCCAAGTGTATTCAAAATACTTTCTGGACAGCCAACTGAACATTGACAAAGTCAACAAAAACATACACTGGGAAAAGAACACCGTTTTCAATAAATGGTGCTGAGAAAATTGGACGGCCATCTGCAGAAGAATGTAACTGGATCCCCTCCTCTTACCATACACAAAAATGAACTCAAGATGGATTAAAGACTTAAATGTAGGACCTGAAACTATAGAAATACTAGGGAAAACTCTTCTGGACATTGGTCTAGGCAAGGAATTCATGACTAAAACCTCAAAAGCACAAGCAACACAAGCAAAAACAGACAAATGGGACTATATTAAACCAAAAAGCTTCTGTGTAGCAAAAGACCGAAAATACCAACAGAGTGAACAGACAACCTGCAGAATGGGAGAAAATATTTGCAAACTATGCCTCTGACAGGGGGCTAATATCCAGAATTTACAAGGAACTCAAAAAACTCAAGAACAACAAAATAACCCCATTAAAAAGTGGGCAAAGGACATGAACAGACATTTCTCAAAAGACATATTAATGGCCAACAAGCACATGAAAAAAATGTTCATCATCACTAATCATCAGAGGAATGCAAATTAAAACCACAGTGAGATATCATCTTACACCAGTCTGGATAGCTATGACCAAAAAGAAAAAAAATAACAGATGCTGGCAAGGATATGGAGAAAAGGGGATACCTATACACTATTGGTGGCAATCTAAATTAGCACAACCTGTGTGGAAAACAGTATGGAGATTGCTCAAAGAACTAAAAATAGAACTACCATTTGATCCAGCAATCCCACCAGTGGGTATCTGCCCACAGGAAAAGAAATCATTGTATCAAAAGGATGCCTGTACTGGTATGTTTATCACAGCGCTATTCACAATAGCAAAGATACGGAATCAACCTAAGTGTCCATCAACGTCTGATTGCATAAAGAAAATTTTGTTTATATACACACAACGGAATACTATTCAGCCATAAAAAAGAATGAAATCATGTCTTTCGCAGCAACATGAATGGAACGGGAGGCCATTATCTTAAGTGAAACAACTCAGAAACAGAAAGTCAAATATCACGTTCTCACTTATAAGTGGGAACTAAATAATGTGTCCGCATGGACACAGAGTGTGGAATGAGGGACACTGGAGACTCGGAAGGGCGGGAGGGTGGCAAGGGGGTGGGCAATGAGAAATTGTTTAATGGGTATAATGTACATTATTTGTTTTGTTTTGTTTTTTTAATGTACATTATTTGGTTGATGAAGACACTAAAAGCCCAAAATTCATCACTGTGTAGTATGTCCATGTAACAAGATTGCACTTGTAGCTCCTAAATTTATAAAATAAAAATAAATATACAAATTTTTGAAAAATATTTTCTCGAATTTCTTCTCTAGCCCGTTGATAAATAACTTTCTTTTTTCTTGAACAAATGCCAGACTGTTAATTTCGGTGTTTTCACGGTGTGTTTTCCTATATGGTAGGGCAAATACCTTCACATAAATTTTCCTTTTCTAATCTTTCTTAGCAATTCTTGCCAATTCATATGAAATCTTATTCATATGAAATCTAAAATTATTTTATCCTATTAAGAATGTTTACTCTAAGCAAAGACTTCTTCCTGGCTAGAGGGTGGCTTAAAGGAATAAACGCAGTCTGCCACAGCTCTCAAACCTCTGTATCCATGGAGAGGGCGTCTGGGAAGCTTTTCCAAATTCTTAGGCTATGATCATGCTACATTCCTTGGCTCTCCACGTTACCAAATCCTGAAAGGAATTCCGTGTTACATCACTTTAATCTTGAACTTCTGGAGAACCAGCATAGCATTTCCCCACTGTATGGCTTTGGCTCAAACAGCAGAAAGGTAAGATTCATGATTATGGGAAGCAGGTGTGAGATTTATATCAGACTAATTCTACATCCTTGACCTAGGTTATTGCTTCCATCCTTTACACGGGTTTTAAGCCCATGATGCTCACGATAACGGTCAAAGATGGCAATTAATGATCCTGGTACTCTGCCAACTGTTATAAATACCAACAAAGCTGGAAGAGCACACGGTGAATGTGTGCGAGTGCAGTGGAAAGTCACACCTTTTATTTTCTGCCATGAAATTCCACTGTAGCATGAACAGAGGACGCGGCTAACTGGATCTCTTGACTGCTCACATACAGGAAAATTGTTGGCAAAATCTAACTTCAACATAACAAGATTCCACTTGCACTAAGAAGGATGGCGTCATCATCTCCAAACTATTACAGAGAATAGGAGACAGATAGAGCAAGTCCGGACAAACAGGTAAATCCTGAACCCTCCCTTTTTTAAAAAGGGAAATTACATATATGCGCATTACATTAAAATGCACTGTCAATAATATTTTGCAATTTGGGTTTAAATTATTCAAATGTTTTAATTTCAAACCCATAAAATCAGGAACTCTGACTCTCAAAACTATGAAAATACACACTGGCTTCCCCACTGAAAGAAATGAAAAATTATCAGGCTAAACAGATGGACATGGGGTGTCTATAAGATCATGTCAATAAACTTGACCCTAGAAAAGAGTTCAAGGCCTGATTTCCATCCCAAAATATAAATGTTACTCTTGTCTGCTGCCTCCCAATAATAATGAGTATTTACTGAGCACTGTGTACTAGACGCTGTGCCTCATGCTTTCTATATTCCTTCTTTTCCTCTATGCATTAACTCTATGTGTCGGTATTATTTCCATTTTATACACAATGAAACTAAGGTACAGAGAGTCACAGAAGCTTACATAAAGTCACATGCATTCAACCTCATTTCTGTGTCCAAATCCTTAAACACGGAGGACCTTCGGTTCTCCACAAGGACGTCAGGCAGACTTGAAGAAACCAAAATCCTATTTCCGGGGTCTCTGTGGAAGGACCAAGACCTTCTATAAAGTTCAAAGGTCAAAGCTGGCCTCTGAACTTCACAGGCTCTACCACCATCAGTGTCAGAATCCTTACTCTGCTGCTGAGGATGCAAATGCATCCTTAGGGAAGAATGGACCTCATCTGTATCGAAAGTTGTCATATTAGAGACAGTGGAAGCTGTCCTGAGTTGCACTAATAAATGGAGTGCATTTCAGGAGTATTTCTGTAATATGCACAGGTAATCAGAAACTTCCAATCACTCATTCACTAACATTTATTGAGTATCTCCCACTGCCAAGCTGGCACTGAGCACAGAGAAATGGACAAGCCCTCAAGGAGACTGCAGACCTAGTTGGTGAGGCAGGTAAGTAGCCCACATATTGCAGCACCTTCCAATAGGTGATAAGAAAGAGCTACATATTTGGCATCATGGGGACAGAGAGGAGAGGCATCTCTGTGGAATGGTTTCAGGAGATAAAACTGGGGTAGGGGAAGGGGGACACTTGGACTTCATAACTTGCTTTTCTTTTCTTATAGTCACAAAATACTTAATACCTAACCTAAGACCCACTCCTGAGTATATACTCAAGAGAATTGAAAGCAGAGACTCAAGAAGATATTAGTACACACATGTTCATAACAGCATTATTCACAACAGCCAAAAGGTAGAAATAACCCAGGTACGCACTGATGGATAAATAGATAAAATGTGATATACACATACAATGGAATATTATTCAGCCTTAAAAAGAAAGGAAATTCTGATACACACTACAACGTGGATGAACTTTGAAGACATTATGCTAAATTAAATAATCCAGACACAAAAGAACAAATATTTTATGATTTCACTCATATGAGATACCTAGAGTAGTCACATTCATAGAGACAGAAAGCAGAATGGTGGTTGCCAGGTCCTGGGCGGGGAGGCGGGTAGTTAGTGTTTAATAAAAACGGAGTTCCCGTGTGGGAAGATGAAAAAGTTCTGGAGATGGATGCTGGTGATGGTTGCACAGCAACGTCAATATACTTAATGTACACCTAAAATGGCTAAAATGACTGGTTAAAGAAACTAAAGAGGACACAAGCGAATGGAAAAGCATCCCATGCTCATGGATTGGAAAGATTAGAATGACTACATTACTCAAAGCAATATAGGGATTCGATGTAATCTCTATCAAAATACCAATGACATTTTTCACAGAGGCAGAAAAAAATCCTAAAATTCATATGGAACCAGAAAAGAAGAGAACTAGCCAAAGTAATCCTGAACAAAAAGAACAAAGCGAGAGGCATCACTACCTGACTTCAAAATATGTTACAAAGGCCGGGTGCCATGGCTCACGCCTGTAATCCTGGCACTCTGGGAGGCCGAGGCGGGAGGATCACTTGAGGTCAGGAGTTCGAGACCAGCCTGAGCAAGAGCGAGGCCACTGAGGCAAAAGCGGTGAACAACACAGCAGGAGGATGGGCGGCAGGGATGGGCAGCGGATTGAGTGGCCAAGTGAGGATGAGAGCGGTTCACAGGGAAACGCTAAGCTGACGAGCCCAGGTGATGGTGAGAAGGATCAGTGTCAGCATTTGACACTCAGAATGCAGAACCCGTTCAAACCTGTTGATTCTGAAATGCCTGTTGGGGATGAATACATGGAGAACTGACAGTAGGCTGGATGAAGCACAGAGTGAAGGCATGAGAAACATGTTCGCTGTCATCTGCAGAGAGCTAAATCTGAATTTCCTTATTTGTAAAATAAAGATGTTGCATTAAATGCTCTTGGATTTTATCCAGCATAAAAATAGAATTACTATCAATGACTATCCACTGAGTTTTGCTCAAAAATGATTTTGGGCCAGGCACGGTGGCTCACGCCTATAATCCTAGCTCTCTGGGAGGCCGGAGGCGGGAGGATCATTTGAGGTGGAAAGTTCAAGACCAGCCTGAGCAAGAATGAGACTTGTCTCTACAAAAAAATAGAAAAATTAGCTAGGTGTAGTGGTGCTCACCTGTAGTCCCAGCTACTCAGGAGGCTGAGGCAGGAGGATCGCTCGAGCCCAGGAGTTTGAGGTTGCTGTGAGCTATGATGACGCCACTGCACTCTAGCCTGGGAGACAGAGTGAGACTCTGTCTCAAAAAAAAAAGTGATTTTGTTGGTAATTGTGAGGAAATGTAGTGAACTTGGATATTGTTTTACACAACAATAGGGAATTTTTTCTCCTCTTTGAAATTTTTGCTGAGAACTAAGATTTTGTTACTTTTATATCTATAAGCTCTTAAAAATTTAATATATAGTCCCCACTTTAAAATTTCACTTTCTACAGTCTATGCTTTTCTTGGTTTCTGTTTTACTTTGTTTGTGAGACTCAAAATTAAAATTTAGAAAGAAAAGGGGAAAAGTAGATAATATTTCCTGCATATCTACTATATGTATACATATACATGTACTTTTTTCCTCCTTAAAATATAGTCTTGTGAGAAATAGGAAAATTTAACCTCATTTTACCAACGAGGAAATGAGGCTTAGATAGGTTAAATAATTTGACCAAAGTTAAAATCTAATCATAGAGAGTGGTTGGCAAAGGGAAGTAAAATTAGCTTTATTTTTCATAGACTTCCTATGACAATACTGACTAATAAGAGATGAAGGTAATAAATATTCTCTTTCCCAGAACAGAAGTGTCTGAGAACACTGTTTAAAGATTTATGCTTCTACTCAAAACAGAAGATCTAGTTGTGTTGCTAAATGTCATGGGAAAAAAGTGCCTAAATTACAGACTGATGTAGAACAGATGTGAATTCAAATGTGAGCCCTGCCATACTCGTTTGTAGCATTTGGCAAGCTTTGTAACCAGTCTGAATCACAGTGTTCTCAGCTATAAAATTCAGAGTAATAAAAGGTCACTTACAAGGTCATTGTGAGAGCAAAGAAGAAAATATGCAGTGAAAACATCTATCCCATGCCTATCAGGGTACTTAATAAATATTAGTTTCTTTTTTCTTTCCAAAAACTTTCAGGTTCTGGAATTTATCACTGGTATGTGAACTTCATGCAAAGAATATTTATAATTTTCCAATTATGTAAATAATTAACATTATTGGATTTGAATTAGCAATTCATTCAAATGCATTGGCATTGGTAGTAAGATGCAAAATTCATCAAGTGATTTTTTTGGTTCCAAATCTCCCATAAGTGGATAACTAAAAGATATTGCTATGTGAAAGTGAATTTCTAGTCTGCATGGTACGAGCCCACTAAAATTTATAGGTGAAATACGTTCCATACGCTAAACACTCAGCACATGCAGGACACTAGAAACCATACCTGCAGGTGACCCTCTCTGATGCCAACTCCCAGCTCAGACATTACCTCTGACTCATTCATGCATCGTACAGTAAATCTCAACTAAATGACGTACACACGAAATAAAGATTTAAGTTTATATGCACTTCTGCCCCTGGGCAGGAGGCGTAACAGTGTGTTCGTAAGTAAGCAGAGAACCTGGACAGACCATTGTTTTTAGCTCTTTCTTTTCTCCAATGCTGGCTCCTCTATTCTTCCCTCAAATGCTCTTTTTTTCCCCCATCAAAACATGTACTCCAAAAAGTATGTGATTAATTCGTCCTCATTCAAGTGTAAATGAATGATAAAGCTTAATGTCTCCCAGGGGTACTTATCTACGCCATAATTGGGAATAAGGTCACTGGCCGACTGAAAGGAATACGCGTCTAGTGATGAACGTTAAGCATCCACGAAGCAACAAGAAAGAACACTTTTCATCGTGGGAGCCATCATGTTGCTCCCCAAGTCAAACCAACAGACCACCACTGGCACTTAAAGCAGGATATGTCTATCAGACACACCTAACGCTCCTTTATCCAGCCCCCAAAATACTGATTTCATAAAGTGGGTACTTGGAAAACACCTCCTGATTAGAGCTACGAGGGCTTCGTCCTGTTATGCCGCGATGACTCCTACCAAGCCACGACCCCTTATGTCCTGGGAGACTGTCGTTAAAGACCCAGTGTGTGTGAGAATGGGCTCATGCTCGGGAAGGGCCATAGGTGAGCTGGAGACCTGCCTCCACTATCACACAGGGACCAAATCCCACTCCTCAGAACAGCCTTGCTACTAAAGCAAAGGATGAGCACAGCACAGGAAATTCTGAGCTCCGAACAGAAAGTCCTTCCATGGCTGAACAAGTCCTGTACTGTTTGTAACGTTCCCCACTAGAATCTCCACCAAAAGATTGGAAGAGTTTTTAAACCAAGAGTGGCAGTTATTCCCCCCAGGCCAGGATCCAGGAAAATGAGCTTCCCTCAGCTTAACTTACCTGAGATCCATATCTCCATCAACCCAGAAGGTGAAAATGTTGGAGATGGTCCCCCCGGGGCAGCAGCCCATGATGAGAACAGCGATCGCTTGCACTGGCTTCAGGGAGAAGCTGATGGCCAAGAGATAGGCTATAAAAGGCATGAGGCCAAACTGGCAGAGCAGCCCCACAGCAATGCCCCAGGGTCTCCTGATGTGCATCCACAGCTTCCGGACCTCCACGGAGCATCCCAGAGAGAACATGAGCAGCGCCATCATCACAGCTGACACCACCGTGAAAACAAGTTCGAGGCTCCCATAAACCTGCAGTTCCCCTGGCAGCTCCTCCTCCGAACTGTTGGCAGGGCAGGCTGAACTGCTGGAACAATTTGCTCTCATCTCCTCATCTCCTTAAGGCAGCATTACAAATGAACATCGGCAGTAATGGCTGGGCAGGTCTATCCAGCCACATTTTGTAATAATGAAACGAAGTCACGCGTGAAGAATCATTCGGATAGCTATTGGCCAGCCGGGTGATTCATCCAAATCTCATCGATTTATTCACGAGCAGCATTATATAAGTAATCAGCATGCACACGAAACTTAATAAACTGTAAGTAAGGCTTTCTACTTCTGTTCTTACTGAGCACTGAATATTTACATGAAATGAGACAAGCAAACTTATTGTCAAGTGGAGTGACCCGGCTATGTCATCAGCATCACATTGTGTTCCAGGAAAGCGGGTTGGGTGCCAAGACATAATTTCTCCAAATTCAGTAGGGATTTCAAAGAGCCAGGATGCAACGTTATGTAGAGACAAAGGCTAACTCCGGAAAAAAACACAGGCAGCTAAGCCAAAGCCACGCCTCGCAGCATTAGCAAAGCATTTGTTGGAAATATTAAAGCAAAAGATGGCCAGTTAAGGCAATGTCAGGAGGGACTAAGAATAATTTCAGGAGAACTTCGGAATGAGCCTCAGTTTTTCTTCTTTCTATTCCCATTAGAATTTGTGTCTAAAGGCAATAATTAAATACCTGTAAGAATAATGTGATGTTAAGCACCTAATTATGTCTCAGGAAATGTGGAAACTCACTTCTTCACCCAAATAAATGCAAGGAAGCTGCCACTTTCCTTTGGAGGTTACAGGCTGCTTTGAGACCCCACAGCCCCGGGCCTCCAAGGGAATTCTGGGAATTCTGCAGGGGTTCTGCAGTGAGGTGCTAGGTCTGGAATGTACGGTGTCTGACTGCAGTGACCCAGGGGCCCCTCTGAGCATCCTAACCAGGCACCGTAGGCGAAACCAGACAAGGACAATATGGTTCCATGAAACTAAACCTCCAAAAAAGCAGATGCCACGCCCTTTCTCAAAGACAGTAGAAAGTTTCTTTGTGGGGCACAGGCTGGTAACAAGACACACTTCATAAATGCCTCTACCTGGCTCCAGAGAGATACTAGCTAGGTATTGTTGATTCTTGGATTAGCAAATTCTTTTCCATGACCGAATGCTCGGGGCACTCTGGGTGTATAAAAATACAAGTTAAATACAAACATAAAGTAAATTCTAACTCTCTCAAGAAAGGCTAAACTGCCTCAGGCAAACACACCCGGAAAGCAGCAGTGATGGGAGAACCTCCCTGGAGGCCATAAGCAGTCAGCTTGAGAGCATTCGCACAGAGCCCCCGGAGAACGGGCACTGAGGGATGGGGAAAGTCGCTGGAAAGCCAAGTGTTGTGTTCTTGGAGAACTGGCAGAAGGAAAAGGAAAAAAAAAAAAGAAGAAGAAAGCTGGGTGTCACCAGCTTGAATCATGCAGAGGTGTGGTCAGGCTGAAAGGAGAGAACATTTTCTGAGCACTTCTGGGTGACAGGGATGAGCTGGGTGCTTTATACATACATGGCTATGTCTGGTAAAATAGAACTTCATTTTATTTTTAGAGAGAGAGTCTCACTCTGTCACCCAAACTGTAGTGCAATGGCGCAGTCACAGCTCACTGTAACCTTGAACTCCTGGGCTCAAGCCATCCTCCTACCTTTGCCTGCTGAGTCGCTGAGGTTATGTGCATGCACCGCCATGCCTGGCTAATTTTTTTCTTTTTCTTTTTTGTAGAGATGGGGGTCTCACTACATTGCCCAGGGTGGTCTCGAACTCCTGGCTCAAGCAATCCTCCCTCCTCAGCCTCCCAAAGTACTGGGATTACAGGTATGAGCCACCAAACCCTGCCTATTTTTTTTTTTATTTATTTAGCAAGAGAAGGTGTCAGATGCTTCTGTCTGGATAATGTCAAAGGGCCCATATTGGACCTTCTTTGATCCCAGGAAAAGAGTCACTCGACTGGCTCTTTTTAGTTATACAAATTTAAAGTTAGTGAGCACCCCATTCCTGATGAGGATGCTGCGGTAGAGACTTTGTGATTTGCTGAGTACTCAGTGGTCATAGCTGAGGAGAGGGGATTATATTTGCATAGTGGCCTTAGGGAGCCTCCCAGGGGAGGACAGAAAAGTGACCTTGGCCATTTCCCTTTTGAAATGTAGCATTATCAGAATTTCCCAAATTAATTAGGATGCTTCTGCAACAGGAAGGAATGGGCTGAAAGCAACAAAAGAAAAAAAAATAATAATAATTAGGATGCTTCCAGTGGAGGTGTGCTGGCAGGAAAAGACACCCACCCCCACAAGAGAAAGGGGTATCTTGAGGGGCAGCATGTTCCTCTGCATCCAGGCACCCTGGCCCAGATGTCACAGGATGACACAGGACACAATGACCGAGCATGTGGATGTGACCTGAAGGTTAGTCATCTTGAGAGCCTGAGCTTGGGTACCACCTTGTGTGCAAGGATGGGGCCAGAGGGCACGGTGGCGATGGTGGCGCACGGTACCGGGGGGAGTGGAGAGGGTGCAGTATATGGGCACAGAAAGTCCCAGCAGGAACAACAGCAGCTAAAACCAGGACCTGCTGTGGACTCGTCAGGCTTTTCCCCATTGCTCCCCATCTGGGCTTGGGAAGGAGGCTTTCTTGGGAACAGTAAGCCCCTAGGGGTCTCCATTAATTTGTAAAAAAGGCTTCATATATGGGATCCTAGACTCATAGCCCTTATTGGCAGGTAGGGATCCAAATGACAAATCAGAACATTTTAAAAGGCACGGCCAAACTTACATCCCACCCTGGGGAGGCAGGTCATGAGATCTCATTTAATCTTCACACCCAATCTAAGAGGTCAGTGCTATCATTCCCCACCTCACAGACAGGAAACAAAGGCCCCGTGGGGCTGTGTGATGTGCCCAAGATTATCAAGCAGGTAAACTGTAACACTGGGATTTAAATCCCAATCTACTTCTCAGCCTGTGGGCGAGGGGAAGCAGGCGAGAGAGCGTGACCATGCTGCGAAAGCTGACGACCACTCAGGTCTAGCTCAGGGACAGGACACCGCTATTGGGCCTAAAGAGGAAGAAATAACCCAACTAATCCATAATCTCGAATTTCATCCCCTATTCTCACAAACTTCAAAGGCACCTAGATATGTTTAATATATACGCACCTTTATTTTGAAATACAGTTCTACAATTCAGGAAATATTCCATGTATTTCTAGTCCCTGCAAATAGAATTAGGACTGAGAGATATTCCTTGAGAAAACCAGCAGAAAGAACTGGGAAAGCAAAGTCTGAGGGGAAAGTGCCAAAAGGAAAGGTAATTAAACATGGCTATGGAACTGTTTGCCAAACTCTGAAAGTTAGCGCAAGGGGAAACTTCTAGAAGCTTGGAGGACATAATCACCCTATAAGTTCAAAAGGAGTCTAGGTAAATTCATGAGCAATAAATCCAAAACAGATATAAAGGAAATTGGCAGGAATGGAAAAAGTAGACTGTTTTAACATGACACAAGGTAAAAAGCCTAGTATTTTTTTTAAACCCTCAAAAATAAAAACACAATGGCTTCACACACACAAAAAAAAGAGCAAAATACTTAAAAAGAAAATTCACCAAAAAAAAAAAAATAGTTAAACATATTAAAGTGATCAACATCTGCTATCATTTGAATGCTCTCTCCAAAACTCACGTTGATATTTAGTTGCCACTGTAACAGCAGTCAGAGGTCCTGAGAGGCAGAGCCCTCCTGAATGGGCTAACGCTGCCATGGTGTTATCACGGGAGTGGCCCCCACTCTCTCTGCCTCAGAGCTCTCCTGCCACGTTCCAGTGCAGCAGGAAGGCCCTCCCCAGATGTGGTCCCTCCATCTCCGACTTCCCAGCCTCCAGAACTGTGTACCAAATAAATCCCTTTTTCCTTATAAATTACTCAGTCTGTGGTATTCTGTTATAGCCACAGAAAATGAACTAAGACAACATCCCTCGTAATTTTTTAAAAGTAAATTTAAAATGTTTTGGCTATCAGCAAGAAAAAAAACTTTCAGGTGAATATCTCCTGCTGGTGACTAATTAAATATCGCAAGATTCATAAATTTGGAGAGGAGAACTTTATCTCTTATAAAGGGTGACAACCTGCAGGTTGGGGACCAGTGCCTCCAGCAGAAACCCAAAGCAGACACTTCAAAGGAGGAAGAGTGAGACGGGAATTTATGCTGAACGATTTGGCTAAGTGTCCATATTTAACAAGTTACAGGAGGAGCTATGCATATTCATGAAGGGGGTGTAGTAGGCAAACACGCATGTTGCATGCATCTCACGTTCATTTTGGAGTGCAGAACTTGACATTTAAATGCAGTAAAATCAGGCTCTATACTTCAAAAGGTGAAGCAAAGGACACAGGAGTATCTTTGTATAGCCGCAGCAAACCGGCCAGAACCAGTTCATGGTCAGAGGCCTCTTATCGGCAAGGAATGCTACTCAGTTGTGTCTAAACTGGAAAAAGGGCGGGGAGTCCAGCTGCCACGTCAGGTGGTTGGCTGAAGTCAGTGGTGGAGCAAGGTGTGTCCAACCTTTCATTCCGTCGTGGCTGGGAACTCAATTTTTACAGTTTCGCTGGGGTCCCCTTGGCCAAGAAGGGGTCTGTTCAGTTGGTTGGGGGGCTTAGGATCTTATGTTTATTTCTCACTGCTAAGAGATGAGTGAAAGACACATTCTTACATACTGCAGGTAGGACAAAATTCACACAACCTTCCTGGGAGAAGTCCAGCAATATGTACTAATAACTTTTGTTACTATAAGTCCAAGAAGCTTTCTTAATGAACGAGCTTCAATACTGGCAAAGATTTATTATTTCTTTGGGGCAGATGTTCCTATTTATAATAGCATCATGATAAAGACATTCCTATTGCTGGGTGCAGTGGCTCACTCCTGTAATCCTAGCACTTCGGGAGGCTAAGGCAGGAGGATCGCTTGAGGCCAGGAGTTGGAGACCAGCCTGGGCAACATAGCGAGACTCCATTTCTACAAAAAAAGAAAAAGAAAAAAATTAGCCATGCATTGTGGTGTGCACCTGTAGTCCCAGCTACTTGGGAGGCTGGGGCAGGAGGATCACTTGAGCCTAGGAGTTCAAGGCTGCAGTGAGCTATGATCGTGCGACTGCACTCTAGCCTGAGAAACAGAGAG